AGGATGAGGGGTGACATCTGATGGCTCTGGGGCCTGGGGAAGGCATCCGTGTGCTCTGAAGTTACACAGTGATGGCAACTGCATCGGATATGAATATTCAGAATCCTATAGTTAAGGCTGAATTTCATGATTTAATTATATGACAATAAATTTCTATCAGAGCTGTATGTGTAGGTTAACACATACAGCAAAATGCCTTCTGTATTCTAAAGTACAAATTCTTATTAAGGAATTAATAAATTTACTTTATGTTGTTCAAAGACATTCTTCTCATTTTCTCTGGATAGGGCACATTCTGACTGGAGAACTTTGGCTCCAAGGTGTACCACAATGTAAAACTTTTTTATGATTTTGCATCAAAGAACAACTCTGCCATTCAGAACATTTTTGTAATGATGTGCTATTCTTTTAAAAATAGTGTAAAACTGAAAATATTTTCCTTCTAAAGCAATCTACTTCTCAGCTATATTAATTTGTGCCATTCATTTATTCATAATTCAAACAATAAACACTAGAAGAGTAAATCTAAAAAATGTGAAACTCCCACTATGTACATATAGTTCAGTGTTTTTTCCCCTGCTAAAACTATAGATAGATGAAAATTTTTGAGACCAATTTTTGAGTGAGGAGAAAATGAAAAGCATTTGTAGAATTGAGCATCTTTTTTTTTCTATCAGAAAACCAGTGACAATTTGTGAAAAATACGTTTTTTAGTAAGTTATAGCCATTAAAGGAAAACCAGACTTTTTCTTTATCCATGCCAAGTTGATTATCTTGATAAAAAGTCCTCTTCTAGCTAAGCTACTTTGTTTTAAATAAATATTTACTATGAAAGATAACGACACAGTCCTTCCAGATCCACAGAAACCTTCCTCTCTAGCCAGACAGAAGCTTTCTCATGCCTCTAGTTTACTAATGGTCTACTTGAGTGTTTTAAAAATTATATTATTTATTTATTTATTTATTTGTGTCGTTTGTGAGTGTGGATGCTCATGCAGATGCGTGTACCACGGAGTGTGTGTGGAGGGTGGAAAACAGCTGCTGAGAGTTATAGTTCTCTTCCCATCATGTGGTGTAGTCATCAAGTCTTCAAGCTTGACGGCAAGTGCCTTTACACAAAGACCATCTTGTTGACTCTATCGAATGTTTAAAACTACCTTAATAACATTTCATTTTTTAAAAAGTTTTATTTTGCTATGTATCTATATATAGCTCTTCTATTAAATATTTTAAGAACTTTATCATAAAAACTTGCAAATAAAAACATTGCAGTGAGATTAAATACTAGGAGCCTGAAATTTTGTGAAAAATCTCAGGTAGAAAATGATGCAAGTATTACTGTAAGCACATAAAACAAATATGCATTTCATATTTTGAAGGGCTTCTCTGCAAGAGGGTAAAATTTATGTATACATCTCCCATACATCCTGGTTTATAACTGGTCCAGATCTGATGGGAACAAATCTGATGTAGCCAGTATTTGAAGGTCTTTTTTAAAGCCAGTGTTAGAAGAATGTGGTTTTAGAATGCTGTCATTTATAACATGAACCTCGACAGTGGCATTATAAGGTAGTTTTGTGTGGTCAGACTGTCACCACTTTTGCTCAGTATGACTTGTCAAGTGATCTCTTATCCGGGAGAGTCTTTTGTAAACAGTGCTGATTGATTTTTAATTTTCAATCTGTTTCAGTTATTTAATGCCATGTTATATGAAGTTTAGTTTAAAGTAAAGTGAATAACAACTTCAATATTCCATCTTCAATTGCATTGTTCCAATATCTGACTGAGACTTAAAAGAGAAGCTTAGAAAGAAACAGATGATATTGCTAAAATTACTATATAAATTAGTTCAACAGCAATTTTTTTTTGAGACTTAGGGTTTCATATAGCCTCACCTGGCCTTGAACTCACTATGTAACTGTGGCTGGCTTTGAATTCACTGTGTAGCTGAGGCTGGCTTCCTTCCTCCACTATCCAAGGGCTGGGATTACAGGAGTATGCCTCCACATCCAACTCAGAATTCTTTTTGTATATAAGGGGAGTCAGCTGACTTTTAGTAGTGGAAAAGCAGTCACACACCTTGGTAGTATTGGTTTATTACTCCCCAAGGGAGTAATACTTATCCACAGGCATCGCTCCTACTTCATAATACCATAAACGACTGTTGCTGTACTAGTAGAGGACTGGGTGGAGGGAGGGCAGGCTTGTGAGATTTTAAAGGCACCTACATCCTCAAGGTGAAACAGGATACAACTTTCAGGCATATCACTATTGGAATTATCTTCATGGTGGGAGAAATCTTGGTTACAGAACTCATATGAAAACGCACCAAAGAAAAGTTTAAAAAATATTTTCAGATTCTCAGAAGTGCTTCATCAAATGCATTATTGGCATGATTTAAAAATTCTATTTTGGGGCTATAGAGATGACTCAAGAGATTAAGAGCACTGGCTGCTCTTCCAGAGATCCTGAGTTCAGTTCCCAGCAACCACATGGTGGCTCACAACCATCTATAATGAGATCTGGCGCCCTCTTCTGGTATGCAAGGGGAACACTGTATACATAATAAATAAATGTTTAAAAGATTCACATTTTTGCTGGGCATGGTGGCACAGTGATCAGTACCTCAAGGCCAGCTTGGTTACAGGAAACTTAATTTCAAAAAACAAAAGAAACAAATCAAAGAAAACCTTCCAAAATCCATGTAAAACAACAAAATCCATTGTAACGAGTACGGTTTTTCCGCCTGCCGCCTGGTCTTGTCCTGCTGCCGCGCCAGCCCCAAATAACACACATAGACTCTGTATTTGGTACAATGCTATTGGCCAGGTGCTAGTTTCTAATCGCTATCTCTGTCTTAAGTATTAACCCATTTCTGCGTATTTCCATGTGGTCTCCTTACCGGGGAGTGAGGCAAGCGTCTGGTCTCCCCGGTCTCTCCATGCTGACCCCTCCTTACTACTTCCTCTTCCTCCTTGTCTCCTAGTCCCTCCTATCTTCCTTTCCTATTGGCCAACAGTGCTTTATTTATTAACCAGTATGAGAAACATATACAGAATGACATCTCCCATCAATCCATTTTCTTCTTGCTGTTTTCTTTTGGGATAACATTTTTCCTTCTTTTTGACTCAAGGTCTCCCCATGTATCCCAAGCTGGCCTCAAACTCTCATGCCTCCTGCTTCAGCTTCCTGAGGAATGCGCCACTGTGCCAGCCCATATCTTGTAAGGATGGGATAAAGCTACAAAATATGACAGCCTCTAAGGTGACCTTCTCCCCTCCAAATGACTTCCAGCTTCAAAACTGTGGTTTCCTGTTTAGTGCTATTTAAAGACATCCTTTTTGGAGTTCCTTCTCAGGAAATAACAAAAACTAACAAATTACCCATAAGGAATAGTCTTAGATTTTGATAATTTTTCCTCATAACTTTCACCTTTTGTGTCTTCCTATTAAAAGTAAATCTGATGTTGTCATTATTCAAGCAGTGCAAAATTAATGCTTTAATATTTACCTTGTCAGAGTGCTGGAGAAAATGTATTTACCAAGTATTTAGATGATTATAAAATATCATGAAAGCTATTGTTTCCCACTCTTTAACTTCCTTTGTATTAATGAAAAAGTCTATTTTTGAATTCCACCTTAATTTACAACACAGAGATCTGGAAACAATTAGAGTAATTTTTTTTTTTTTTTTTTTTTTTTTTGAGACAGGGTTTCTCTGTGTTGGCCTGGCTGTCCTGGAACTTGCTCTGTTGACCAGGCTGGCTGCAAACTCAAAGATCCACCTGCCTCTGCTTCCAGAGTGCTAGATTAAAGGCTTATGACACCACTGCCTGGCTTAGAATAATTAAAAAAAAAAGATTTATTTATTTGCTTTGAGACAAGGTCTTACAATGTAAGTCTGGCTAGCCTGGATCTCTTTACTAGACCATGTCAACTTCAAACTCAGAGAGATCTATCTGCCCCTTGCTTCCTGAAGGCTAGGTTTAAAGGCATGTGCCACTATACCTGCCTGAGTCACAACAAAAAATTACAATGCTCTCTCTCTCTCTCTGTGAGTGTGTGTGTGTGTGTGTGTGTGTGTGTGTGTGTGTGTGTGTGTGTGTGTACCTATGGAGGCACAAAGAAGGTGTTGGACTGCCTGGGACTGATATTGCAGGCGCTCTGAACCGGACCCCAAACTCTGTTCTATGCAAGAGCAGCAAGTGTTCTTAACTGCTGAGCCATCTCTCCAGTCTCCTAGAACAACCGTTTTGGGGAATGAGTTATTGTTAAGAGTTGTGCTGAGTTTTACATGCACTAATCTGCTTCTCCCAATACTTTTGTGGAGAGTGTTGTTACTCAACCGAGGAAGCCAAGGTTCAGAGAAGTATAATAAATCATCTATAAATAAGCGCTGAGACAGCGTTTGAGTTGTAACGTCAAATTTGGTATGCTTCTAATGATTATTGCCAAATTTATTAAGTCATTTAAAGGTTAGACAATAAGAAACTAGTGAAATTAAATAATTTTGTGTCTGAGGATGTGAAAAATTTCTTGATTAAAATAGAAGCATAAGTCTCATGTATAAATTCTGCAAATTTTACTATTTTTTCACTGGCATACATGTAATGTATGTGGGTACATGTACATGTACCACAGAGCACAGGTGGAAGGCTGATGACAACTTGGTGGAGTTGGTTCCCTTCTCCCAACTTTACATGGGTTCTGGGAATTGAACTCAGGCTGCCAGGGTTCTGTTGCAAGCTTCTCTGCCCCTAGAGCCATCTAATCCATTTAAAATTCTTATTAAAAAATTGTAACTTCTGTTGTTTGTTGGACAGTCTTGCTATATTTCTCAGGCTGGTCTTGAACTTACTATGTAGTCCTGGAAGGAAGATTACCCTGTGTCAGTTTCTAGAGTGTTGAAATTATAGACATGTACTACCATGGCTGGCTTTACATGGCAATTTAATAAAATCATAAGTAATCTGTTGCAGTTCTCCGCCACCTCAGGTTTTATTCTGAAAGTGTCTAGCATTGCTGAAGAAAACAAAATTGTGGATCCTGGACCAGAGAATGGCAAATACCTATGTCACTGCATCTGATGGGTACTGTCTTGCTGAACCCACACAGTATTATGGTATGTAATAAAAAACTGCAGTACAACTGTTAATAAAGTGTGTGTGTGTGTGTGTGTGTGTGTGTGTGTGTGTGTGTGTATGAAGAGATGCCTTAGCAGCTCATCTAAGCAGAAAAGCACTGGCTGCTTTTCCAGAGGACTAGATACCAATTCCAGAGACTTCAGTGCCCTTCTCTGATTTCTTCAGGCACCAGGCACACAGGAAGTGCACAGACATACATTAATGCGCAATTCTCTCACACACAAAATAAACAAATGTAAAAACTGTATTCAATTAAAATTAATTTGCAAACATTGAAGTTAGTTTTAACGACAAATAGAGGCAAACTTTAATGTTTTTTTTTTTAGTTTATTAAACAAGAATTCTTTTTTTATTTAATTTATTATTTTACATGTCGATCCCAGTTCCCTCTTCCTCCTTCCTTCCCTCCCTCCCTCCCTTCCTCCCTTCTTCCCTCACTTTTACCCTCTCTGCCCTCTCACATGCACCCTAACCACCCTCCCCTCCCATCCCCCCACCCCAATTCCATATGTAGGGGAATGCCATCCAGTTGGGGTCATGTAGATCTGACAGGTCATGTGAAGTAGGGACTAGGGCTTCTCTCCTGTCTCTAGGTCAAGGCAGTTATCCCTCCATGGGGGATGTGTTCGCAGGGTCCTTTTGTGCACCAGGAATACATCCTGGCTTCACTGTCTGAGGTCCCTTAGAATGCTCAATCCTTCTGGCTGAGACCCATATTCAGGGGGGCCTAAGTCAGTCCCATGCTGGCTTCCCAGCTATCAGTCTGGGGGCCCGTTAGCTCCTCCTTGTTCAGGTCAGCTGTCTCTATGTGTTTCTGCAGCCTGGTCTTGTCCTCTCCATCTGGGTTCTAGTTCGACTCAGTGGCAAACTTTAATGTTAAATTGTACGTGAGACTTATAGTAGTCATGGTTGATTAATTGTTTTACTTTAAAGATTTATTTGTATTATTTTTAATTGTGTGTGTGTGTGTGTGTGTGTGTGTGTGTGGTTATTTGCATGTGAACACAGGTTCCCACAGAAGCCATAGACACTGGATCTGCTTACAGCTGGAGTTACAGTGGTTGTGAGCTGCCATGTGGATGTTGGGAACTGAGTCCTCTGTGGAGCAGACTCTTTTAATGGCTGAGCCCCATTTCCAGAGCTTGCATAAAATTGTCAAGACTTATTTACTTATTTTCTATTTTATGTATATATCTGCGTGTGACTATGAATCTTTTGTGTACATATGAGTGTAGGTGCCTGAGAAAGTAAGAAGGTTACAGGTCCCCTGGAACTGGATTTACAGGCAGTTGTGGGCTACCATGCGGGTGCTAGGAACTGAACCCCTGATTCTCTGCAAGAGCTATAAGGGCTCTTAGTTACTGGAACCCAGTTATGTTTGACATTTTAATCTTAATATAAATTTTCAAAACAAAAAGAAATGAAAAGAGAATGCAAGTGACACTAGAAATTTTCTACATACAGACTAAAGCTGTGATATAGATGTAATCTTACATACAGTTTAAACTTTTCTTTCCACAGGGTGAGAAAGGGCTAATTATTTACTTTGGACAGTCAGCAGCAATGGCCCCTTTCTCTTAAAAAAAAAAAAAAATAGGTAACGGTTTTACTGATTCTTTTCTTTTCCTGGTTTGTGGTGCCAGCAATTGGACCCAGGTCTTGTGGTGCTATGGGAGGGCTTTACTACTGAACATTTATTACCCAGAAACATTTTTCTTGTGTTAGGCTATTTATTTGACAGTATTCAACACTGAACTGGTGTTGGATGCTATAGGGTTGCAAATGACTTTTGTGAGTGATTTTATGTGAATAAAAAGTGTCCTGCTTGCTGATCTTGATGGTTGAATTTTGAAGGTAAGTTTAATGACTCAGCACCAGGAGAATACATTACCAGCTACAGACACAGAGTAACCAAGTATCACTGGGTTCTTTTGGAGCTAATATTTTGAATTAAGTCCAGTAGTTTTCCTGAAAGCAGGGAGTAAGTTGGCTCTTGGAAATTCTGATGATCATGACAATATTATGCTGTGTGCCATCTTATAGTTTATATGTATTTTAAATTTTTACTTATTTTCTTTGCCAAGCTTTGTACTCTAGGCTACTTGACCTCTGAAATTCTAGGATTCTATGACTCTCATCTCTTTGTAGGAGTGTTGAGATTACAAATGCACACCATTGCATCGGACATTAGGTGGGCTCTGGATATTGAGCTGAAGTCATCTGGCTTATGTGGTTGGTGTTTTTATGGGCAGAGCCATTTTGAGGACCCCAAAATGTGCTTTTAAAAAAATCGTGTGTGTGTGTGTGTGTGTGTGTGTGTGTGTATGTGTGCACATGCACATGCATGTGTGTATGCTCAAGCACATACATACATACAGTTATATTCATGATACAGCATAAATGTAGAGGTCAAAGGCCAATCTTGATTATCTTTCCTCCCTTTCCATCTTGTTTGAGATAGGGTCTCTTTTTTGGCTATTGCCATTCTATGTCCCTCTCTCATCCTGCTGAAGGTGTGCTGGGACTACAGATGCACATCTCCAGTCTAGCTGTAAGTGGGTCCTGAGACCCATCCGGCCTTCATGCTGTGCAATGAGCACTCTAGTCTAATGAGCCACCTTCCCAGCCCCATTAAAATGTGCTTTTAACTATCATATTTCATTTTGTTTTACAGTAACTCTTCAAGGTAGATAAGCTGGTCTCAATATATACAACAAAGAGAAGCTAGTAACTTAAACCAGGCTACAAATGTTAAAAGAGCTGAGATGCAATAAATGAGAAGTTCACACAAAAGGTTATCTGCTGTTGTTTTGTTCTATTTGAAATTAATTTTTTTCCTTTTGGGATGAGTTAATTGGCTAATTTATATAGTTTGTGACCTGATTATACTAAAAACAGCTATAACAGGATTAGAGACAGGTGTAGTTCAGTAGGTGGATGGAATTGGATTGTTCTTTAGGCAGAGCTGACTGCATGGTGGGGTCTGTTGGAAACTAGCAGTCTGCCGACCCCCCCCCCACGATGTGTGGGATGCTCATGGCCATGCCATCACTATGTGATGCTTTACCTGGCTGCACAGGGAGGCATGAGCAAGTCCCCCCTTTAAAGCAAGCGCCCGCACACCCCTCTCCCTCTCCCCTGATTTCGGTTGGCCACCAGCTATCCCCTTTTTCTCCCTTCTCTTCGGCTCTCTTCCTCTCTTGCTCTCCTCTTGCTATCCCTCTCTTTCCCCCTCCTCTCCTTTCTTGCTCCCCCCTCTCTCTTCCCTTGTTCTCCCCCCTCCCTTTCTCTCCCCTCTAATAAACTCCACCTGGGCGCTGAGTCTCATGTTTGTGTTTCTTAGGCGCTAATCAAAACAAAAGAACAACAGGGTCTGAAACAAAGTTCAGCAGGCTTAAGGAGAAAAAAGGACATTCTTTTATTTTAATTAAAAATGTTTTATTTATTTATTTGTGAGACAAGGTCTTATTATGCATGGGTGTCCATTTAAGGTCACTTAGTGGGAAGTTGGGAGAAGGAGTTTTTGTGCCTCTGGGGAGTGGGTCCAAGGTTGACATCACCAATTAGGTCAAGAGGCACTGTTTCTGTGCAGCTTGGGTGGGCAGGTGTTTGCAAAGTCCCAAGAACATTTCTATATAAGGAATCCAGGCAATGGCCTAGGTAACACACAACTTATGGGGCGTGGCTGTGGTCAGCCTGCCTCTGGGCCTGTGTGTGAAGTGCTGAATATCTTCTTAGGGTGCCCGCAGTGTTTTTTGCTTGGGTACTTGCTTACTAGAAGACTTGTTTCCAAGAGGGACAGACTTCCCACTTCTGTGTTGTGACAATAACCATAACAAAGGAAATGCAAAAGATAGGGGAAATAAACTCAAGACTCTGGGAAAGATTTCCTCTTAAGGAGAGAGACTAGCACTACTAGCAACGAATGCCCTTTCTACTGGCTCCTCATCTATCTCTGTCACTTCTGGGGTGATAGCATTTATTAGATATTGTAGTTCCATTTACTGTGTTCCTATTATTCTGGGCGTCAAGCCCTAAGATGTAATGTTGAAGTAAATTTCTGTTGAGTATAAAACATTCTGAAGTTTGAAAACAAATGAACATTTGACTTTTTATGATTTATTCTTTTTTTGTGATATTAAAACTAGATATTTTGCCAGAACAAATCCATTATCAACTGTGTGACGCTGATTTCCAAGAAGCACCCTATTGTCAGTATTCTACTGCTCAGTTTCCTCCAGCTTTACAGCCGCCATCTTTTCAAAGTCATTTCAACACATACGGCTTGGATCCACAGTACAGTGGTGGTGGTTGGTGTGGACTTGATGCCCGTGAATGGAGTCAGTCCACTCGCATGGTTGTTCACGATGAGGAAGATGGATGCCCTGGGATACAAAGGTCCAGACCAACTTGTTCTTTACGCTGGAAGGGACAAGATGAGCTGTGCGTGGTCTGTGGTGATAAGGCATCAGGATATCACTACAATGCACTCACCTGTGAAGGCTGCAAAGGTAAAGGTTAAGTCACAACAAAACAAACAGCCCTGCATACCCCTGGTCACACATACAGGCAGAACACCTACACACATAAAACATGCTTCATAAAACTCGAGGAATATATCACTTCTTGGATTAGGCTAAGATCAAGTGTAAAACACGAGAAACAAAACCAGGGAGAAGCAAGTTTAAAGGGATCAATCTGTGATCCAAGGAAGGAGAATAAAGTGTTAAGTTTAAGACTAGTTCCCTCTTTCCCTCCCTCCCTTTTTTTCTTCCTTTCTGTTTTCTTTCTTTTCTTTTCTTTTCTTTTTTTGAAACATGGTCTCAATGTGTAGCTCTGGCTGGCCTAGAACTCACTATGTAGACCATTTTGGCTTTGAACCCACAGAGATCTGCTTGCTTCTGCCTTCTTAGTGCTGGAACTAAAAGCATGCAGTACTATGCCAGGTCTTAGGGTTAATTCCTTTCTCTTCCCCTTCCACTTTGTCTTCCTCTTTTTTTCCCTTCTTGTTTTTATTTTTATTTTATTTTAATTTAATTTTATTTTTTGAGACAAGGTCTCTCTAGGCAGCCCTGACTGTCCTGGAACTCAACCAGGCTGTCTTTGAACTCTCAGACATCCATCTGCTTCTATCTTCTAAGTGCTGATATTAAGGGCATTCACTACCAGGTTTCTCTCTTCATTTTTGAAGATGTCTTTCACATTTAAGTATAAAACTCAATACATACAAGCAAAAGTTTTCCCTATTCCTAGAATTCAATACTGTAACAAAGCATGAGTTTTCATTGAGATCAGAATGTTAACCATGACATTTTTTCATGTGGTTGAAATAATTTACAAAATTGGAGAAAATCTGAAACAAATGATTTCTTTGATTCTAAGTCAAAAGATTTTTAAAAATGTTTTGTAAAGAAAGAGAACAAGGGCTAGAGAGATGGCTCAGAGGCTTAAGAACAATGGCTGCTCTTCCAGAGGTCCTAAGTTCAATTCCCTTCAATCAAATTGTGGTCACAACCATCTATAAAGGCATCTGGTGCCCTCTTCTGGCCTTCAGGGATACATGCAGGCAGAACTGTAAACATAAAAAATAAATCTTGAGAGAGAGAACAAAAGAGAGAGGGAGAGAGAGAGAGGGAGAGAGAGAGAGAGAGGGAGAGGGAGAGAGAGAGAGAGAGAGGGAGAGAGAGGGAGGGAGGGAGAGAGAAAGAGAGAGAGAGAGAGAGAGGGGGGGGGGGGAGAGAGAGCAAACTGAAAGTCTGGAAGCAAAGACCAGTGTTTGCAGAGTGAGTTTTGAAGCAGTCCAGCACAACCAATAAATGTAGGGATGGGAATGCACACAGGCCTTAGAGCACTTAGCATCTAGTTTTGGATTTGATCCTAGCACATTCAGAACACAAACAACAGAAAACAGGCCAATCAATATAGCATAAATAAACGTGTTCGTTCAGAGTTAAATTTTACCTCTAAATTTTGCAACTCAACACTTGCAAAAGAATAGCCAAATGGAGAGTATAGGAAATGAGGTAACAGCATCCTGAGTAGGGTAGCTGGACAAGGGATGGCCTGCTTTCAAAATCAGCATCTCACTGTTGAAACCGACCTGAGGCAGTTTTAGAAAACGGAAGCTAAGCTTTTCATTTGTTGAACTGAAATAGTGAAACTCCATCCCTCTTTAAAAGGGGCGTTGACTAAGGTTGGCCAACTCACTGGAGAGAGCAGGAAAGGGCAGGGATTACCCTGTATAATAGGAGTGAAGGAAGAAAGGGAAGAAAGTACTTTCTCACCGGAGTTAGTGATTCAGAAGGGGGAGGGGCAGTTTAGAGGGGCACTCCTTCCCTTGTGGGCTGAAATCAAATTGTGAGGGTCTTAGAAAAGAGAGGCTAGCGCTGGAGAGATGGCTCAGCCTTTAAAGGCTAGATTCACAACCAAAAATATAAGAAAAGAGAGGCTTTTCTGATCTTTTTGTGTTAGGTGACCTCGTATTCTCTCAAAGGAACCTTGAGCGATGCGTTGTGCGATCTTGATATTCTGTAGAATGTAATTTAAAAAATTCTTATAGGTAATTTACCTATAGTAAGATAGAGAGTTGCCTTAATGTGGTAAGGGTATTTAGTTTAATCTTCAGATGTTAGGAACATTGTCAGAATTGACTGAGTATACCAACTAGAAAGAATTTAATAATTTTCCAGCTTAATGTATATTTAAAAAATTATTGGGAGAAAAACCCCCTCATTTTATTGAAAGAATCTACTTAACTTGATTACTATAAATGTAAAATGTTAATAAACAGAGACGTAGCTAAAATATCAGTATTAAACTTTGAAAACTTTTGTTGTTAGGTTTTTTCCGACGTAGCATCACCAAAAATGCTGTGTACAGTTGCAAGAATGGTGGCCACTGTGAAATGGATATGTATATGCGTAGAAAATGCCAAGAGTGCAGACTAAAAAAGTGTAAGGCAGTGGGGATGCTGGCAGAATGTAAGTGCCTTTGTGTTGTGACTTGGTTTTGTTTTTCTGAGGGCGAGTTAACTTTTTCCAGTTTTACTTACCTGGCAAGGGAGACATCATGATAATGGCGGTGGTTTTCCCAGAGCAAGGCCCACCACTGCACTGGGATGTGCTGACCCTGTGATTTCCACAAATGTGGGAAACTTGGCTGAATGATTTGTATTAATGTGGGGGGGGGGACTGCTTTCACACTCTACTCTTTACAATAACATTGAATTTAAAAATAATACACTTACTGAGAATGTAAAGCATTTTTGAATGTAAAGCATATTTATTTTGAACATTGTCATATTTGTTTATATATGGGCATGTGCACACCACACATATATGTACATTAATTTCTCAACATGGGTGGCATTTTAAATTTAAGTAGTGATTTCCATAAATGTTGCTCTGTACTGTATTGCTCTAATTTTGGAATTGGTCATAGTTTCATCTTAATTAGAAAGGTCGTTTGGCACTGGGGAGTTGGCTCAGCAGTTAAAGCACTTGTTGCTTTTGCAGAGGGCCCAGTTCCTAGTTTCTGCATGGCAGTTCACAATCATCCATAATTCCAATTACAGAGATTTCAATGCCCTCTTCTGACCTCTGCAGGGACCAGGCATGCAAACAGTGTGCATACATACACGCAAGCAATACACACACACATAAAACAAAATAAATCTAAACAATTTTAAAAGATCTTGTATGTTTATGTTACTTAATGTAAAATTATATACTGAATAGAAAAAGTGCAAAATTTAAAGTCAGTAGTTGTCAAAAGCCTCCCTGATATCCAGGTAGGCACAGCCCACTAATAGTTAACACTTGGGTGTCAGGATCTGTCTCCAAGTATCATCACATTAGAGATTAATGCTTTATATATGAGGTTTGGAGACACAGTTCAGTCCAAAGAAACCTTTGAAAATGTTGTCTTTTATTAATTTAGTTTATAGACAGGACTTCATTAGTAGCTGGCCTGGAACTTATTAAGTATGTCAGACTGGCTTCAAACTCATAGAGATCCCCCTGCCTCTGCCCTCCAAGTTCTAGGATTAAAAAAGTATGCTGCCACACCTGGCCCAAAAGTTGCCTTTTAATCTGTGTCAGAAATGTGTGTGAAAGGGAACTCAGAGTCTTCTGAGGGATTCTATAATAAAATTAACCTCCTTCACTTTAACTTAAAGGAATTATGGCAAGATGAAGCACAAGAGAATTGATGAGTGTAGTTGTTGTGATTGGTGAGCATAAGACTTATTCACATGTTATTCCCATTCTTTCATATCCTGCCACTATTGCTGTAGCTCTTCATACAACATTTACCCAATTGTTCCAGTACTGCCATGTGTTTGGTATTGGAGCATCCATTTTCCTCTTCTCCTCTTCCCCTTCTTTCTCCTCTGTTCCTCTTTCTCCCCATTCTCCTTCTCCTCCTTTCCCCTTCTCTTTGACTCTTCCTCCTCCTCCTTTTCCCTTCTTGTGGCATTGAGGGAATGTGGCACTCCCACATTCTTGACAATGTACCATTAAGCCACATCCATAGCCTCCTCTTCTACTTTTTAAAAAATTGAAGGCAGGGTCAGTTTCCAAGGCTGGCATTCAACATGTGATCCTCTTGTCATAGTCTCTTGAATAGTTGGGGTTACAGGTGTGTACTACCATGTCCAATTCATGATATGTTTAAAATGTTTTCATATTTTTGGGTATTCTTGTTCTCTGACAAATAATAATATGGAAGGGTTTGAAGGTTTTTTGTTCTATACTTCTTCGGTTCTTCATTCTCTTTTATTTAATAGGTATGTTTTATACACTTATGAAAATGACAGGTGTACTAATTAATACTTGCACAATTTTAGTAGTGATTTATGGTAGCTGCTGTTGCCCCAGTAAAACACTAATGGAAGATTAAGCCTTCTATAAAAACAATAATCCCAAGGCTGGAGAAACAGTTTAGCAATTAAGAACAATCACTGCTCTTGCAGAAGACCTGAGTTCAGGTCCCAGCACCCATACTGTGTGGCTCACAATCAACTGTAATTCCAGCTCAAGAGGATGTGACACTTCTGGCATCTGTTCTCATGTGTGCATACCCACACATATAAAGAATTAAAAATAAATCTTTAAAAACAAATAGACAAAACAATCCTCAAATAAACATTATCCACATTTGAAAAGTAACTAATTGTTTTGTCTGGCTTATAGGAAAAATTTGGAAAATCCTAAGGTAGTCTTCCTTACATCAAACCATTGATAAAAGTTATAGATAAGGTAGATCTACTACTCCATAAAATGAAAATCTATCTCACTTCTAAGATGCAATTAATATGTAAATTTCTTATGTAAAAATCTAAATTTGGAAATGAAAAATTGGTTCTTAGTTTTTGTCTGGTGTAACTGTATTTCAAGCAGATAACATAGCTATGAAGGGAAAGGAATATAGGACAGTTAGTTAATGCACATGAGAAGTCTATGATCATTTACTCATTTAAGAGCATTTCCATAAAATCCTACATGTTTTTTTCTGAGACAAAAATACTTTGTGTGAATTTTGTAACACCACAGGTTTGCTCACAGAGATCCAGTGTAAGTCAAAGAGACTTCGAAAGAACTTCAAGCGGAAGGTTGCCCTTTATTCTGACATCCAAGGGGAAGATGAAGGCACAGACAGCAAGCTTGTATCATCCACCACCAGATCTGGAAAAGGGGCAAGACCTTTCTTCTATACATCTCTGGTTTCTTTATTGACAACGTGTGTAATAGGCACACATTACAGGTGCCCCTCTGTTTCCTTATAGGTTCAGGAAAGCATGGCACTAACTCAAGAGGAACATCATCTTATGAATACCATAGTGACTGCTCATCAAAAATTCATGATTCCTTTAGGGGAAGCGAGTCCACTTGTATGTATCTATTACAGGCAAGAAAGAACTTGTAATGATAGCAAAAATGGCTAAAACTTTAGTAGTTATATGAAAGAAAATTCTATTTATCATTTTTATTTCTTTTTATGGATTAGCTGCAGGAGTATTCCAACACTGAACTAAGTTTTCTGAGACTCTCAGAAGCAGCAGTTCTAAATATTCATGGGCTGATGAATTTTACCAAGGGACTGCCAGGTAAAATTGTGTTCATTATTTTTTAAGATTTATTTATTCTTATTTGTTGTGTTATGAATGTTTTGCCTGCAAGAATACCATGTACACACCATATCATGGAGGCCAGGAGAGAGTGTGGGATTCCTTGGAACTGGTTGTGAATTACCATGTGGGTGCTGGGAACCAAACCCAGGTCCTCTGCAAGAACAACAAATACTCTTACCTGCTGAGTCATCTCTCCAGCCTCCATTTCTCCATATTTAAGGAAAAGGGGTAGTATAGCAAAACAAAAACCTCTAATGTGGGACTGGATATACAGCTCAGTGGCAGAGCAGTTGTTCAATGTGTGTGGGGCTCTGGGTTCAATAGAAAACCTTTATTTATTTTTTTTTTTGTAATAATGCTTCTTCTAACTAAAAAAAAAATACTTATTTTATCTACTTAAATTAATCAATTGGGTGACAATTTAAATATTTACAAATTATTATAATGATGTAGTTTTTGTTTTTTGATGAAACAGAAAACAAAGAAAACAAGCCACACTGGACTAAAACTTAGTTATATATAACACAGTTTGATTATATATTTGCAGGTACAATAACTCATTGTAATATTACGTTCTTCAAGGCTAAAGCAACTGTGCGTGAATTTGTTCTTGCCATAAGAAAAGCGTCATCTAGTTCTGATAAAAGTGCTCTAAAATATTACCATGTAGAATCAATAATTTATTCAGATTTGAACTTGTATGCTATGGTTATTCCCAAAAAGCATTTAGGAATGATAAGTAACGAAATATTTTTTAAACATTTAATTTATGAGCATTATTCTTTAATTATCTTGTTTCTTCTTGCTTTTTTTTTTTTTTTTAAAGGATTTGAAAATTTAACCAGTGAGGATCAGAATGCACTACAGAGGGAGTCAAAAACTGAAGTAATGTTTCTTCATGTAGCCCATCTTTACAGTGGGAAAGAATCAACCTCTGGAGGTAAAAAGAAAAAATGATTTCATGTAACTTTAACATAGCCATGTTGGACTTGGCAGCAAATTATATATTACACACACAGGCACGCACACACACATGCATGCGTGCGCGTAACCTACCCTCCTAGAACTCATGTAGCTGAGGAGCATCTTGAACCCCTGGTGCTCCTGCTCCCACCTGCCAATGGATGAGAGTACAGATGCATTCCTCTAAGTCTGCTTTATGAGGTGCCGGGGATGGGACCTTGTGCATGTTAAGCAAGAACTCTACTAACCAGTTCATGTAGGAACAAATGTCTCATGATAGCTATGTATAGTCTTCTAATATATTCATCTAGCATTTTCTCTCAACAAAGTCATTCTTTTTAAAATTGTAGTCTTTTTATTCTTGTGAGAATTTCATACATGTATTCAAAGTATTTTTGATCATTCTCATCTCACTTCCTCCTCCACGAACTACCCCAGAATTCCCCACATCTTTCCGAATTTCATGTCCTCTCCCACTCTTCTTAAAAACAACCCAGTGACTCTAAGTAGTTCTACTCATATGCACACGGGTATGGGCTCATCCATGGGAGCCTGTCAACTTGGAGGGACCAGACCCCTAAAGAAAGAAACTGGACTCTTCTTCCCCTAGCAGCTGTCAACTGCCCAGAACTCCTTAGCTTGGGAGGGGGCTTCTGTGCCCCTAAGCCAGGCTCGTCTAAAGAGGAGGACATTTACAAGGGTTTAAACATTAAGACAGGCCGGGTGGTGGCGGCGGCGCATGCCTTTAATCCCAGCACTGGGGAGGCAGAGGCAGGTGGATCTCTGTGAGTTCGAGGCCAGCCTGGTCTACAAAAGGACAACTTTCAAAGCCACAGAGAAACCCTGTCTCGAAAAACCAAACCAAAAAAACAAACAAACAAACAAACAAAAAAACCAAAAACCAAAACAAAACAAAAAACCCACTAAGGCAATGGTGATTTTAAGACAGTGGAGTTCTGGGTGAAGGCTGAATGCTTGCTCTATGGGCTACTTAATTGTGGTTAATTGTGAAACACCTCTGCAATGGGATAAAGTGCTAGTTAGGCTAGTGTTGAACCTAGTATCCAGTTACCTCACTTCCATAAAAAATAAAAGCATGGGTTTTTTTTGTTTGTTTGTTTGTTTTGTTTTTCAAGACAGGGTTTCTCTATTGCTTTGGAGCCTGTCCTGGAACTAGCTCTTGTAGACCAGGCTGGCCTCAAAATCACAAAGATCTGCCTGCCTCTGCCTCCAGAGTGCTGGGATTAAAGGCATGTGCCACCACTGCCTGGCTCAGAAGCATGTTTTTTTTTTTAAAAAAAACAATTACCCTTTGAATAGAGCAGGAAACCCACCATTGTTCTAGTGTGTGCATGCGATAATTCAAACCATTACTTTCTGTTGGTTGAAGATGTGGGAAGAAGAAAAGTGAAAAAAACAAAGCAAAAACAAAAACAAATAACCAACACAACATTTTTGCCAGCAATGACTACTTCCTTCACTAACTGCACTTGCTGTAGCGCTAACCTTTAAAACTTATTTATTGGTTGTTCTTCCCTGCATATACTAGTCAGTAAGGTTGCTAAAGGGGAGGCCCCCTTGATGACCCAGCTCATGATTGCTTGGATAGTGTTTGCTTAAGAGCCTCCACAGCCTCCGATACTCCAGAGTGATGTGTGGAGGGTGTGTTTAAGAAGGTCATTCTTTAGATCATCATGGAAAACTCATTTTGGAGGGTCTTGTACACACTCTTTCTACAAAACATGAGCTATCAATCTGGTTTTATGTTCCAGGACCAAAAACGATAAAGGTATTATTTTAGGGGATTGTTTTTCACATAATGGTTATGTTGGATTCTGAAAAGATATTTAATTTACTATCTATATAATGATTAGGGTAAAAAATTCAGAGTTTGTATTTTCTTTCTTCTGCTAGACATTATAAGACCACCAAAGCCCTCAGCTCATTCACTGGAGCTGCATAATCAGAGCAGTGACGTTTATTCTTTGGAAAACTTTTTCAAGGAAGGCCGTTCTTCTGCTACTCTAACTGGTAACATTATGCAATGTAAAGTATTATACTGCATGACCATGCTTCCTTTCCTCCTCTTCTGTCCATTTTATTACAAGGAGAATGCCATGGGCTTTTTTTTTTTTTCTTTTTCACAGTTCACAGTTTTCTCTGCTAAGTGAGCTTCCATGGCGGGGAAAGCATTTGTAGACACAGCTGATGTATTTATTAACGTTAGGCAGGTAACCAGTAAGCATTCTATTTGTAACCATTTTCTTTTGGCTATATCACTGCAATTGTTTCCCTATTTAGGTGGGAAGCTATTTGGGGCCTCTGAATCAGTCTTTGGGGTGCTTTTCAAAGTTCCCTGGGATGCTGATGTTGTCATATGCAGCCAACATGACAGTATCAACCACTTTTATAGGTAGAAGATGAGCCTTACCGTGGAAACACCCAGAGAGGGGCTTCTGCAGGCTAAAGGCTTTCGGCCCCACAGCCTCCTGTTTGGTCCACATGGTGACACCCTGCTATTGTTCTGGTCTTTCTCAGTAGCACACCTAGTGAGCCCACTACTGAGGTTCAGGCATGGCCTTCAAGGGCACAGCAAAGGGAACTGTCCTTGCTGGCCATCACGAAGGCAGCCTTCTTGAGCCCCACCTCCATTTAATTTTTCTTATACTAGTTTGAGACAGAAAAAAAAGATCCTCGATGTGATTGCTGCTGTGCTACATGGTGATGAAAATACACTTGTATTAATCTTCTTAGGTATTACTGAGGAATTTGTTGCCTCACTGTCTTACTTCTACAGAAGAATGAGTGAGCTCCATATAACGGATACGGAATACGCTCTGCTTACAGCAACAACAGTGCTTTTCTCAGGTAAACACTGCCAGCAGGAAGGGGGACATCTGCATGGGAAATCATGTTCTTAGTTATTAAACTCACTGAGGTTGGAGGTACCGGTTTCATTCCATCACAGTTTGCTTTATGAGTACTCCTTTAAGCTCACCACTGTGTTGTAGTTTCTTACATCTTTAAAAATGCTTTCTTGCCCTTGGATGTACTTTCCCACATTCAAGAGAAAGTTTCTTAGGGATTTAGCTATAGTCTAATCTCCTTTTTATACCTCTTTCACTTGAATCGTTTACATTCGATTTCACTCTGTCTTCTCCAGTCCACCACACCTGTCAATAGCTTCAGGGTCTTGGCATTGCTGATCCCACTGGCCAATTCTCAGTCCTTATCTTATTTGAGCCATCTATATTTGGTAGAGAAGCTCATAAGTGCTTAAAAGAGAACAAGAGGATGTCCTGTTTCCTGTGAGCCTTTGGGTGGAATTTTGCAGCTATGGTGTGTTGGGAGGAATCTTCATGCTTTTTGTATCAACTCATAGTTGTAGCTTGCATTACATATTGGCTTGAGGTCAAAGTGAGATGTTAATTAGCATGGGTAACTTACTGCTTCAAGTCCTAGGATATCACTGCCCTACCTTATTTGATCAGGACATACTTGTGTTCTTTTTCATTCTAACTTTCCATGACATCAGGGTACATGAAGGCTCACTAGGTATACTCATTGAAAGTTCAATCACATAGGCTCTAGTGCAGCTACATTTCATTTTCCACTTTCCAGTATTATGCTTCAAAATAAGTAAGAAGCTCTGTAAGGCACTGTGCAGTGAAAAGGGTGGAGGAAGATAAGCCTTTTTCAGGGCTGATATTTTTGTTCCCAACAATTTACCCTTTCATAATCTTGGCATTCTTACTCACTGTCACCTGGAAAAAGTTAGGTTCTCCTTGTAAACTGCAGTCCAACTAACAACTTGCCTCCAACTTTGCTAATATTCAGCACCACAAACAGGACTACAATTGTGCAAAAAACTGCAAAAGCATGATACTCTCAAGAAGTTTCCACTCCAAACCAAACAACCTGACCACTAATTCATATAGGTATTTTTCTTTTGATAGACATTTAAAAATATTTATTTACTTATTTAGAGAGAGAGAGAGAGAGAGAGAGAGAGAGAGAGAGTGTATACGTACATGTCACATATGTGGAGGTTGGAGAACAATCTATGGGAGTTGGTTCCCTTTTTCACCATGTTGGTCCTGGGGGTTGGACTCAAGATAGTCAGGCCCGGTGAGCCATCCCACTGGCCTTGAGACCTTTTTTTGTGTCACTGACTCTCAGGAACATCATTCTCTCTTGGTTTTCTCCTGTTTATTGGCAATTCTTCCTGTGTCTCCTTTATTCTGTACTCTTCATTTCTCACGAGAAATGTTTAAGTTGTTCTAAGACTCAGTCTTCTTTTAAATTAACTCATTATTTTATGTTCGTTTTTTGCCTGCATCTGGTGCACTACCGGCATGCCTTGGCTGCTGAGCTCAGATGTCAGATCCCTTGGGACTGGAGTTACAGATGGTTGTGACAAGGCCCTGTTTTCTTTTGCACTTACTTCCTTCATGACTTCATCCTATCTCTTGGCATTAAAAGCCTGTGTGTATCTGATACCAACTTGATGTATATCCCCAGAGCTTGTTAAATAGCCCCCTCCAGATTTCCATGTGATTGAGCAGGTATATCAAGTTTAAAAGCCCAAAGCTGAACTCCTGAGACTTTATTATATTTTTCTTCACCTGTACTAAACTATATCTTCATCTTCCAAATTGCACGTGCAAATTTAAAAAACTCTTAACTTTTCTTTCTCGTATACTAATATCACATATGCACCAAATCTGTTGGCTCAACCCTAAAATATATCTAGTACTTACCTCTTCCTTCCTTCCTTCCTTCCTTCCTTCCTTCCTTCCTTCCTTTCTTTCTTCCTTTCTTCCTTCCTTCCTTCCTCCCCCCCCTCCTTCCCTTATTTATTTATTTATTTATTTATTTATTTATTTATTTATTTATTTTTTGAGATGGGGTTTCTTTGTGCAGCCCTGACTGTCCTGGAACTTGTTCTGTACACCAGGCTGGCCTTGAAACTCAGAGATCCATCTGCCTCTGCATCTTGAATTCTGGGGTTAAAGGTGTGTGCCACCACTGCCTGGTTTGCTTCCCACTGTTTCTAGCCCGAGCAGTGTACTTGAATCCACTTATCTAACTAACTAGATTTTCTGATTTTATGCTCTATAGATATTCTCCTTATTAACACTGAGGAGGATTCTGTGAAAATGTAAGTCAGATCATGTCATTCCTCTGTTTCCACCTGTTGGTGGCTTCCTATTTTGCATACATTAAAGCCAAAGTTTTTTTTTTTTTTTTAGTCTCTATTGCTCCTTTTTCATCCTTACCTGGCCACATTGATTTTGACCTAGAAATCCATTGAGCACTGCAAGCTCATGTTACAGGCTCTACTATTCTTAATGCATCTTTTCTTCTTTTTGCTTAGAGGCTTACATGATGCTCTCTTTTACATTTTTGCTATTTTATTTATTTAGTTTTTTTTCTCCTTCACCATTTTGGGTTTCTGTTAAATGATGCTATATTCCTAATCAGTCTTTGCAAAAGAGCCACCAGCCCTCTACCCCAGAGTCCTATCTGTTTCCTTGTTTATTTTTTTAATCTATACTACATCACTATTTTATTTTTGCTTTTTTAAAAATGTTTTTTTATTTATTTAGCTTTATTGATGTGTGTGTTTCCCTTGTCTGCATACGTATTCCATATGTGCAGTGCCTGTGGGTCCAGAAGAAGGTGTCAGAGCTCCTAGAATTGGAGTTATAGATGGATAGAGCCTCCATGTGGGTGTGGAAATCGAAACCCAGTGTTCAGGAAGAGTGGCCAGAGCTCTTAACTGCTTCGTGGTCTCTCCAGCCTTCTATTTTTGCTTTTTAAGATGTTTGTCTCTCCCCTCTCCACCCATTCTATGTTAAGAATATAAATACAATAAAGGGAGGCAATTTTGCCTGTGAGCTTCCTTGCTGCATAGTTAGCAAAGTGACTTGATGAATTAAGGCTGTTGAAGCTTTCAGAACTTCCCAGTTGCTTATATTTTATGGTAGCAACCTAAAACGTTTTTGCCCTTTTCTCCCTGTTGACTGTAGAAACATTACTTGCTCTTTTAAAGTTTCAGGAAAGCCCTTCATGGCTGTTACATTCCCAATATTACTCACTGACCCTTTCCTTCCCATGTGACCTTATGGAAATTACTTAACTCCCTACATTTCAGAGAGCTAATCTGAAAAAATGTGGTAAAAGTAGAATGTAGTACATTAGAATAGCATCAAGATTAAATAAAACAATGAACAAAGACAATTTGATTAGCAAATCTAATGTGTATTAGGGTTCTGTAAGTACTTGTGATTTATATTATTTAATAACTATCGTTTTAAATGAATTCATTATTTCCACCATGTTAAATTAACATAAGATAAATATGTTTTTTAGATCGTCCATGCCTTAAAAATAAGCAGCATGTAGAAAACCTACAAGAACCAGTTCTACAGCTTTTATTCAAGTATTCGAAACTGCATCATCCAGAGGAACCACAGCATTTTGCTCGCCTCATAGGGAGGCTTACTGAACTGAGAACCCTGAGTCATAGACACTCGGAAATCCTCAGCACCTGGAAAACGAAGGACCCCAGACTAGTTACGATACTCTCTGAGAAATGGAATTTGAACTCATTTAACTGAAAATTTAGAATGTTGCGGTTGTCTTAAAATTTCAAAGTCAAAACTGGATTACTGATTTGAAAACTTTAAAGAAAACCATTGTGTTATCATACAGTGCCATAAAATGGAGATCCTAAGTCTCATCAGATTTTGTGGAATTTTGGACTCTCACAAGAGAAACACCCTAGGATTCTTCCCAGTGGAGCCATGTGGTGGCACAATCCCCATGCTTGGGCAATGCAGGCAGGATGAGTTTAAGGCCATTCTGGGCTGTATAGTAAGACCTCATCTCAGAAGAAAGAGAAGAAGAACTGATGTCCATGGCTTTTTCATGAGCCCTTACCTAAAGAAAGTTTTTTTCTCATTTAGCTGACAATATCTAATGTATAAATGTGAACAAAGATTAGTTGTATTAGGATAAGGCAGTGCATATGCCTCACTTAAGGACACGCTGATGGAATAAGAAGCTGATGCTTAAAGCTCTCTTGTCACAGTATTTCATGATTAAAGAGGAACAAGGGCTTTTCAAATTGTATCTGCTTTGTATTTTTTAATAAGTATATGCTAATTATATAAAATAGTGAGTTTCATTATGAAAATTTCATAAGATATTTTAGTTATTTACCCCATACTCTGTACTTTCCACATACTGCTGATGCCCCTCTTGTCCCCTGGGTAGTCCCCTCTACTTCCGTGTCTTAATAGATTCACACATGAAGCAAACGTCTAATCCTAGTCTGAGTCTGGTTTATTTCCCTTAACATGAAGATGTCCATCTATTTTTCTGCAAATGGCAGCTTCATTCCTCTTAAGTTTGATCCCATGTCTTGGCCACTGTGAATGTAATAAACATGACTATGTAGGTATTGTGACCTTATGTGGCTCTTGATTCAGGTGTATTCCCAGAAATGGTATGGACTATATGGTAGGTTTATTTTTAGATTTGAAGAAAATTATATAGTGACTTCCACAGTGACTACTTCTTCTCAACAGTATATTAAGATAAAGATTTCTTTCCCATCACCACTCTTGCCAACATTTGGTGTGTGTGTGTGTGTGTGTGTGTGTGTGTGTGTGTGTGTGTACATGCCAAAGCACATTTGTGGACATCAGAGGGCGGCTCTGTGGAGTGTGTTGTCTCCTTCTACCTTTACGTGTGTTCCACAGATTGTCAAGCTTAGACACAAGAGCCTTTATCATCAGAACCTTCTCACCCCACCCCTATCCTGTCATATCCTTCATGGCTTGGTTCTGGAAGCCTGACTGGGGTGATGAGTGAATGAAGAAATGACACAACGACACAGTTCAGAAAAGCTGGGATTGGTTGGTGTCTTAGTCAGTTTTCTATTGCTGTGAAGAGACACTATAATCAAGGAAGCTTATGAAAGCATTTAATTGGAGGCAGGCTTGCTTATGCTTTCAAAGAGTGAGTCCATTACGATCGTGGCAGGGAGCATGACACCAGGCAGGTAGGCATGGTACTGGAGCAGTGGCTGAGAGCTGACATTCAGATCTCCAAGTTGTAGGTAGGGAAGTAAAGAGGTGGGCTACTGGGCCTGGCACAGGCTTTGGAAATCTCAAAGCCCATTCTCAGTGACACATCCCTTCCAATAAGGCCCCATTGAATCCTCAAATGGCCCATCAAGTAGGGATCAAACAGTCAAGTATAGGAGAGAGCTGGGGCCATGCTCATTCAAATCAACACAAGTAGGCTTCTGATGGAGGGCAGCAACTATACAACAACCTAGAAACTTAGCACATTTATTGTGCATTGCATAAGGAGCCAGGTTAGTTAGTCTTGGTTGAAGGTCCCTGTAGCTGGGCATTCTCAAATTGTGGTTTTCCTGGAGGAGGAAGCTACAGATGGCAGTTTTCACACACACAGTCAACATTCACATGTGGACCAGAGGAAAGCTTTGCTATTAACATGGGTTTGAGGCACTGGTCCTTGACATGGCTGTACTCCTGTCAATAATCCACATTCACTCTGGATTTCCTCTGACTTACACCGCTAAGTTTATTCCACTGAAGAAAATATTAGCTATAGATAAAGGAATACATTTCAGTACTCTGCAATACCCTGAGAATACCCAGTGCAGCTTGACTTCATAGCTGAATTTTAAAAGGAAGGTCTGAAAAGTGCTAATGAGTGGCCTAGCTCTTTGATGAAACTGTCAGGCTTGGTGAACTTGTTGAAATGAATATAAAACCGAGGAGGCAAAGCTGAAATGCTCTGGGAATCAGTGTTTTAAACAGTTCCACTTCTCTTCCTTTCAGAACAGATAGATGAAGGTTAAATGGTCTCTATGTGGATGTACGATGACAGCTTCTGCAACTGTTTTCTAAATGTAAATCATCCAAACAGCACGCTTACATTTATAGCATACACACAGTAGTATAGGATGTAAAAAGAAGCACTTAACCCCTGTGAACATATTTATAGAATGCACTGCTATCACAAGGTCACTGTTGGGGAAAGAGAAGGAAAGAAGGGAAAAAGAAAAGAAATAGAGCAAAAAGCAACTAAAAATAGCCATCAAGGCACCTCAGGGAACTCTAGACCGTGGGTACCACGTGATCCACAGGAGCCACTGCCTCCTGCTCTGCTCCCAGGCTTTCTCACCGTGACCGACTGTGAATCAGTTACTATTGGTGTTTGATCACAAGAACAAGAGATGAAAATTGGTTCTGAGAAGTGGGATATACAAACAAGAAATCTACAGCAAATCTAACGTGGTTAGTAGTCCTTTGCAAAGAGTTTGTGGGAGGAATAGGGAAAAGTGTGGGGTTGTTGGCTAGAGAAACCCTGGACTGCTGTAAGGAGAGATTAAGTGTGAAGAACCACAGTGTGGACAGTGAAGTCCAGGCTCACAAGGTTTCAGAGGGAAACAAAGACTACCAGAAATTGGATTAGAGAACACTTCTGTTACATTTGGGCAAAAAAACCTGGCCACATCAATCCCATATCTTGAGAAATTGAGGTTTAACTAGAAAAAGAATGGACAAATTAGTAGAAATCATTTCGACATAAGCATGCATTAGGCTGTGACATAGTTGCTACTTATTGCTTTTAGCAATGCTTGCAGCAATTGAGCAAAAAGATACGAAAAATGTGCAGGTTTTCCCCCCCCCCCCTTTGGAAAGGATCTTGATAAAGCTTAAAGGTGCAGACAGGAGTGTATAATTGTTAAAAATATTACTTGCAGTTTAGAAGGAGCCTTCTGTTTTTCACTGGGACAGTAGGAGGGGTGGCTTGGGAACAATGGCTCACCCATTGAAGACTCTAGCTTGCAAAAAACCCAAATTCATTTGGAAAGGAGAACGTGAACTGAGAATGTATCTAAAGGGGTTCACTGCATGGGTTCCTATCTGAAAACATTCTCCTAAAGAAGTGTTTTCCTAGATTTGGACTTAAAGATACATATAGGCTGCTGGGGACCAGCCTATGTCTCCAGATGGCAAGAGAACTTGGCCAGGGGTGCTGATTTTGCAGGCAGGTTAGATGCAAGAGTAAGGGGTCCTGAAAACTTGTACTGACCACAGAGGCCAGGAAATGAGTGGTAGGGTGGTCTGATTACGGGCAAGGAGGCAGGCCCCCGGAGGCCATCATATGAAGCTGTGAAGGTGAAGCCTAAAATATGATGGAGACGTTAGCATGTTGGAGATGCCAAGACTGTGAGGCATCTGCTTAGGAAAGCTGCAGGCATGAAAATATAGCCAGCTCAAGAAAAAGGTTACCTGTATCTTCGGGACAGCTTCGTCTGTCTCAGCACTTTAATAATGATACATCTAGGTATCCAAACTTGCCCCTTTGATATACCTTTTACTTAAGTTAAAACACGCTGATTTGACATACTAAATGTATTTTCCAGCTGATGTTATCTCCACTGACACTGTGATCATCTGGGTCCGTACATCTTGTCCATGCTATGAAAAAGGTTCCACTACATAAATCTGAAGCATTCTTCATAGCATGATTTTTTTTCCCATCCTGACCAAGCCAGCCTTGGTCTGCTAAAACTTTCTCATGAGGCTCCTTTGTAAAGTCTAACATCGCATCCCACATACATCACTTTGAGCCTCCTCCTTTTTTATCTCCAGTCTTCGTTCTTGCCTTCCCCCCCACCCCCAGTCCTCATATGCCTGCACCCTACTTTCTGGGGCTCTACTGCTTTGTCCAGCTTGTGGCTTGTCAGGGGTATTGATTATGTAGTCACAGCGGAGAACCCATGTTGGGTTCCCAGGACCCACATGGCAGCCGACAGCAGCCACCTGTTAACTCCAGTTCCAGGGCATCCTATGCGCAGGTATGGCCGCCCAGGACACAGCATGCACGTGGTGCACGTGCACGCACACACGTGTGCATACACAAACCAGAACGTAATCAGCCCTCTAAAAAAAAAAAAAAGGAATGACCCCCCCCTTAAATGACTACATGGCAAGGTGATGGTTGGCATGCTTAGGCTGTGAGCTCCTCAGCTCATTTGTCTTACTCCACGAGGGCTTTCCCAGTGTTCTCTGACAACACGAGCTGCTCACAGACCAGAGTTGGTGGAGAATCAGAACCCCGGGCCCCCGCGGGAAGGAAAGTCTCGCGAGATGTGCATCGCGGGATCCCGGCCAGCTGCGGAGCTGACCGACCGTTATATTTCGCCGCCGCCGTTAACGACCCGCTGTCCAGTCCTGCGCTGCCCCGCGCACGGGCCGGCGTTCTCCGGCTTCTCGGAGGTTCTGAGGCCGAAGCTCGCCGCTCTGTTCCATGTTTTCATAGAGAAGCGCTGGCTCACGAGGCAGGGAGCCCGCGGACGGTGAGGCTGTGGAGGGCTGCGTGGGCCGTGAGCCCCCACGCGCCGCCCGCCCGCTCGCTCGCTCGCGCGTGTCCAGGCGCGTGGCTTCGCGGCCTAGCGGGGCCCGGGGGCCTCGGGGCTGTCACGGCGGCCTTCGAGGTTCCGGCCAGGCCCGAGGCCGCGTGGCAGCCCGAGTGGGGAGTTGGTGGGACCGTGGGGGGCGACACGGGGGCGGGACCCCTCC